AGCTGCTTCTACCTACACTATTCCACAGCGCAAAATGTGTAATTTTTCACAAACAAAGGCTGTAAAATTATGAGCTGTTTCTCGGAGCTATTCTTGTTGTAGGATCTCATCAGAGCTTTTCAGGTAGCGTTTGCCAAACCGTGACGTCTTTCTAAGTGTAAACAGATAGCTTTTTAAATAGTAAACAGGAGTAAATAGCAAGAAAATGCACGAAAATTATGAAAAATAATACAAAAAAAAGAACAAAAACTCAGTGATTAATGCCACCGCCGCCGTCCCTAAAGCCTCCTAATGCAGATCTGCAAAATAAAATAAAATCAGGATGTATGCGACACTCACACAGACTAACAGAAAAGAAAAAAAACACGTAGACATCTCACAATCTCGCAGCTTTTATTGTGAAACTAACACTTACATAATTTGCAGTGAGCTAACTTGCTCCCGGCTCCTCATATTCCAAAATAAAACATCTAATTATGGCTTTAAATAATCAGAATTGGTTTTATTGTGCTGAGACTGCAAGTGAAGGTATATTTATTCCCTCAGAGTCTGACTGTTTCAGGCCCGAATCCCCAAATGTCCCGAGACAAACCTATAAGACCAAAAAACAAAACCGCTCCTCAGACTGTTGCTTTTAATTTTGCTCCAAACCACCAAAGGTCTTCTCGGAAAAACAAAGAAATTAATAACCTGACAAAAGCTTTTTTTTCTCCTTCGGCGTGTCTTGACCTGGAACAAAATAAGCTGCTGGGATGCTTCTGTCAGCGTCTCCAGCATGTGCTGTCGGGAGAAGTTTACTTGCACGTCTTCTGCTGTGAAAGCGGCGGGTCACCTTCACACGAGCTTTTGTCTTTTCCGGGATTAACTCCGCTTATCTCACCATTCATCCCTCGCTGTGTGATTTCAAATTCTTCTTTTCTCTCTTCTTACGACAACACAGATGTTTAGATTCCATCAGATGAACAGTTTTATTGGTTGCTTGTGGCCTGCTTCTTACTCATTCCTCATGTTTTGCCCATAAAGTCTATTTTTTTTGGCGCTGTAGCAGCTTTTTGTCGTCCATAATTTCATATTTTTCAAACAAATGCAACAACTTGTAGGCAGGTTTAAGTCTCTTTTGTGGTTTTGTTGCACCCGCCGAAACTATTTCAGAGTTGGGATCATCGTTGTCGTAGATGTAGAGATGCTTGAGGAATATTCGTAAGTTTCATTTTCACTCTCATCCATTTCTTATTTTTGCATGCCATCGCTTTCATTTGATAGTCATCATAATCCTTCTTCTTTTCACAGAATTCCTTGAAGTTGAGTTTATAACTGCTTTGGGCAGCTTGTTCGTTTTCTTTCAATGATTTTAATTTGGGGACCTTCAATTATAATGATTTCCAAAAGCCAGAATCTTAATTTCTCTGGACTCCAGAGGGGCTGAGGGCGCTATATTCATGATCAGTAACCTTACTGAGTCATTTCCGTCCTGATGATGTGGTTGCGCTTTTACAAAAATAAAAAAAAAAACCTCTTTAAATGAGCACAGAGCACTATGGATGGGAAATGTCAACAAATTTAATAGCAAAATACAATTACCAAGCAGGGAACTTGACTCTCCACCTACCTAAAACGCACGCCGGTGCATAGTTTAATTCAGCAAAGGCATTAATAACAATGGAGCAGAGGATTCATTGAGTTAAATTTAACCTTCGTGTCACCTGCAAGTGGGTGTATAATTGCCTTTTCCTTCAGTGAATTAAATCTATGCAGCCGTTTGAGGATGACGCGCGCAAGACATTTATCCAGGATCAGCGCTCCGGCCGAGAGCGAGCCACAAATTATGCAAAAATAAAAACGCAAACCTCTGCGCCGTTTTTTTTTTTTTTTTTCCTGCAGGCTCGAATCGCTGATTGAACTCCGATGTCGCAGCCGAGAAAACCGAGTCGAGGCGGCGACACGAGCGCGATGAGTGGCACCCCGAGGACGCCGCTCCGCCGAAGATCTTAAAACCATTATAAACTTTCAAGTAGCACCAGAGGCGTTGCATTTTGAAAACAGATAAACAGTCAGACAATGGACCCTTCAAACGACATGATGTAACCGCAGGATAATGGCTGCAGTCGGTTTGTTAAAAAAAATGAATAAAGAAATAAAAATTAAAGAAAAAAACTGATAGTGGCAGGAAAAAAACAAAACAACAAGTCTGTGTAAGTCTGCTGCCACACAAGCCAGTCTGGATACTTGATATTCAGCAGCGTAAATATGATAATTACATGGACGCACTGCTTCATGAAAGCATGTACACATAAGGAGGCTGTGAAAACAGTGAATAATGTCATCTCCGGAGGGAGATTTATCTAGTCTGAGAAACCGACTCCGCTGATGCCATCGGGCTTATTTTAGATTTACCAGAAAGCCAAAGATGTGTGTTTTTACCAGAATGCCAAATAAGAGATGTTATGGAGTGGCATTACTGGAACTGGAGGTGGATTAGAGTATTTGATCCTTGTTAGGGGGTAAAAGTGAAGCTATCCCAGCCTGTCCTACATTGATTTTTAAACCAACTTTATCAAAGTAAATTTAATCCCTTTCCATGTTTAAGTGACTGACTGGGGCCGTTCATGACCCCAGTCGTATATTTATTTGCACCATGGTGTTAAATCCATGACTTTTTCAGTCTATTT